GCCGGGCCGCCGCGGCCCGCAGCCCGAGATCGCCGTTCCTCCCGAGAGATGCAGAGCCAGGGCCGAAACCTGTCGCTGTGGGCGAGGCTGCCCCCTGCCGCCCGGAGGCCGCGAGTCTGCCCGACCCCGCCCCGGCCGCGGGGAGTCGGTGCCCAGAACTTCGGCGCCCGCCCAGCTCGGGCCCCCGACTTGGTCTCGCCAGCACCGCGCTCCTCTGGCCTCTTTTGTCCTGGTCCAAGACAGAGGCTTGGCCAGGTCAAAATCCCCTTCCTCCGCAGCCAGCAACACCAGCTCTGGGAGCGCGGTACGTCCTTTCCTCACCGTGGTGCCCTGGTGGAACTTCTCCTATCCCGCTCCCCATCGCTGCAGCGGGGCAGGCTTCTGACCTGAGGAGCTCGGGTTTCTCTCCAGGGTCCCTCTCATGGAAGGATGTAAACAAGGGACGCATTTTCTGATTTGCATTTTAGAAAGATCACCTTGGCTTCTGTGAGGAAGGGTGGAATGTAAGGGGCTGAAATTGGAGACAAGGACAGAAGGTCCCAGGCTACTGCAGTGTCCAGGTGAGAAATGAGGGGCCTGCCACTAATTAAGTGGCAAGAGGGATGGGTGGAGTGAACTGAGACATTTGGGAGGTGAGTGGAATAAACAGTCTGACTGGATATTGCGGATGAGGTAGGAAAGGTCTGGGTTTAAGATGCTGCTAGACACTGCCCAGCAGAGGCACAGGTTGGATCCACACACCATAGGAGTCCTGTAAGCTGAGGCAATGGGTCAGCAAGCCTGCCTGGATATGGAGCACTGTCAGACAAGTCAAAGCCAAAATACAACCAAGTCCTTTCGGGAGCTGAATTGCAGCATGTGATCTAGTGCTGCCCTGAAGGATTCATCAACTTTTTACCACTGCACTCTGGCCTATATAATCAATATCTCTAATGTTGTACCTGTATGGATTGGACCAATATTTGCTCTTTATAAATATACTCATTCATTCTGATATTGAGTGACTCCTATGTACCAGCCCTCATCATTTCTCCTTTGGGCTACTGTTAGTGGACACACTTTCTGCTTGGTTCCTAAAAAGTTATGGTTAGTATGATTGGGGATAATTTGTTAATTTTTCAATTTTCTTCATTGATGTCAATGATACTTTAAAACTGTCAAAACAACTTTTTCAAGCAATGTAGTGGTGAACCACTGTTATTCAAACCACATGTTCAGATGAGGCCCACCCAATTCCAGCTCTAGGAGTGAACACAAGATCCAACAAAGGATAACTAGATGGGGATTGGCTTAGGGTTGATCACATGATCTGAACCAGACCAATGTGAGGTGACCTTACTTAGAACTAAAGAAATGCTCTTTTCAACTTGGTTAGCTAAACTGATCGAAAGCCTGGAGCTGCTTGTGGGCAACCATCTGGGCAGAACTATTTTACAAATAAAGCAGACAGAAGAAAGCAGAGCTAAGAGGAGACAGATGTTTGTGCTTGTGCAACCGGGAGCCAGCATTGCTGGAAATAAGTACTGAATCTGTCACTTGTAATCAAGCGACTCCGATTAAATCAAACTCACAAATTTGTATTTGCAGAATTCCTCCTTTATTGAAAGTGTGACTCCAACTTTCAACAATTACCCATATTATTCTATGACTTTTGAATAATTGGCTCTGCCCTACCCTGCTTCCTCCCCATACCCTCAGTTTAGAGGACTATCAGACATCTGTGGCAGGGAACACTGACATCTAGTGGCCAGTGATAATGGCACAGGCTGTAGTATCCCTAGGTAGAGGGGACATTATCAGAGTATTTACTGAGAAGATCCAAGGCATGTTTGGACATGGTTTCTGTATGTGAAGTTTTGAATTCCGACTCTGGCATGCCCCAAGATTATTTGGATTTCACTTTTTATAAAGTATGAAATAGTTTTGAAACACTTAGCCATTAGAAACCCTTATGAACATCATTTTGTTTGCTTATAAGCCTACCGAAATGTTAGAAAAAAAATCCCAAACTGATTACCCATATCTTATAAAAAATTATTAACCCCCATGTAGCCACATCAGTCACTTTTTAACTCTACTCAAAAAAAGGTTAAAAACAATTCTAGCACTGCTGTAGACCTCACATACCATATTTCTCCAACAATAATAAAAAATAGCTGCTTGGAGTGGAGAGTATTTTAAAGATATACACTGAATATTCAATTTCAAGGTAAGAAAATCAGTGATTCCAGTCACACTTTCCAATCTTATACCCAGGAATATACAAGAGGTGCAGAGCTTGATTAGGTTGGTAGGGAAGAGACTACTTTTTGTCTGGTGTGGATTTCAGTCACTATATGCACTAGCAATCTGTTTCTTGGGGTTAGGGTTGGTCCTGGTATATAAGATACTTAGTTTTACTTAGGAACTATTCTGTAAGTGCTAAGGAAATATTTTAGCTATTAAATGATATGCAATGGAAGTCACTTTCAAATTTTAAGATATACTCAATATCCACAGAACCTTCAAAAATCAAGTTTTCATATTTAAGTAGAAGCCAGTGTGTTGAGACATACTTTATATCAGTCATTTCTTGCTTTCAATATATTTTATTCTGATGAAGTTACAAAAGTAGATACAAAATACTTTTTTAAAAAAGTACAGTTAACCGACTTAGAAAAATAGATAAAGCCCCTAAAGGTTTAAAAATACAACATAAATTTTTATGTAAAGAACATTTTAAAATATTTTAGATAGTAACCAAGACTAACTTATGCAAACTACTTTCAATGTAGAACAAACACAGAATATTGCTCTATAATAAGTCTATAGCACACTGGTAATCCATCTGGATTTACAGAACACTTGTTTGGAACAGAGTCTAATAATGAAAAGAAAACCCAAGTGAATTTCAGTGCAGATACTTCAATAAAATAACTGCTACCACATGTAATATCACCCCCCTCTTATAGCCTGAAATGTTAAAATTGAATGCAAAAATAGGAAGACCAAAAGACTATTTTCCCTCTTTGCCAGAATTCTATAATAGTAGAAACCAAGTCCACTTAGTGAACTAATCTCTGGAGGGAAATACTGTGTCTGTTGAAGGTGCTCAATCTGGTGTCCAGATCAACATTTTTCTGGCCAGAGTTCCATACTGACAAAGATAGCTTCCTGTCATGAGGCAGAAGAAGCTCCAGCATCATAATTGGGTCTGCTTAGAAACACATTTCTAGGACTTACACTCTTTGGGCCTGATCTGTTTGTACTTCTGAGGTAAGGACATCACATTTCAGAAGCTCTACTTATGGTGTCTTGCTGCTCAGACAGAAGCTAACAGTATAATCATGGAACCTCCACAAGGTTTTCAAGAGTTACTGTCACTTTGCAAGTTATTATCACCATGAGGATTGTTCCCCTTGCTTCTGCACTACTAGAAAAACTTTGTCTTTGTTATTAAAGTCACGGTGAATACATATCTGCATTTTCAAGTAAGCAGCCACATAAGCTAGAGCTCTGCAAGTCTAAGATGAAAGAAATAACCTGTTAGCTGGCAGCCCATAAAGACACTTTATTCATGCAAATCTGAAGAATAAAGGATACAACTGGCTTTCAATATAAAAACTATAGTACAAGGCAGTTTGAATATTTAAACAAAAATCTATACATCATTGTCCAAGTTTTTTTTTTTAAAGGCCTGAAAATTAAAGCACCACAGGATTAGCTGCATAATTTAGCAAGCACTCTCCACCCCATGACTGTAATCATGTTTTGAGAAGCAGAGATGTGACTCTGAGGAGATGACTTCCTCTTAGGAAGGGGAAAAAAAGAGAGTATTGAAGAACAGGGAAACCCTGAATATGAATAGGTAAATCAAAAGTGAGACCAAGACACAATGATTTCTTCAAACACTTTTCAAAGAGTTGCTCTTTAGCCATGTCAGGAAGGCACCATTCACTTCCCATCCTTTCCCCTTCCCCCAATTCTCCTGCTGTAAGAAGTCGACAAAGAATGTAATGTTTAGGTGGCACTGTTGATTGAGCCAAACTGGTTTGGGAATCTAGTAATGTTTTCATTAAAAAGTAAAAGAAAACAAAATAAAAAACTACATTCTAAATCTCAAATTACCAATAATTTTAAAATTTACAACCCATTAATAAGCTGCCTTTACTACTGTCCTACCATGTGACCATCTTTGGTTTGTTTTGGGGCTTACTCATGAAAACAGAATTTCTGTCACTAAAAATAGTGAAGAGAAGTGAAAAACCTTTTGAGAATATTTGAAATATTAGAAATTATGATGAAAGTATAATCTAATTGAGAAACAATTTCATTCCTTGTAGACTTAAAAAAATTAAAGCCACTGGACACTGTGCTTGCCTGTAATCCCATTACTTGAGAGGCTGAGGTTGAAGAAATGGAAGTCCAGGCCAGAGTTGCCAACTTGTGAGACTCTGTCTTGAAATAAACTTTTAAAAAGGGCTTGGGATGTAGCTCAGTTGTATAGCGCTTGCCTAGCATGTGCAAGGCCCTGGATTCAATCCTTGGTAACACAAGAAATAAAATAAAAAGTCCACAGGGTTGGAGGTTGAGAGGTAATTACATTCTAGGTGTCATTCAGGAACCCACTCTTTTTTGGGGGGAGGAGTGAGGTAAAGGGGTTCCAGGGATTGAACTCGGGGGCACTCAATCACTGAGCTACATTCCTATCCCTATTTTGTATTTTATTAGAGGCAGGGTCTCACTAAGTTGCTTAGTGCCTCACTAAATTGCTGAGGCTGGCTCTGAACTTGTGATCATCCTGCCTCAGCCTCCTGAGCCGCTGGGATTAGAGGTGTGCGCCACAGCACCCAGCCAAGGAACCCACTCTCATTTCCAATAATTAGAGAAAATGTGCAGAATGACTGACATTTGGACCTCTCAATACATTTAAAATATGAACTATAGAATGTTTTACAGAGGGCTTTTCTCTTTTTTTCGTGATTACACTACTCTTGAATTCCTTAAACAATGATGGTTTCAGCCTAAATTAAATGAAATAATGTTCTTTAAAATTCTGTGTATTGTTTAAGAATTTATTGAAATTGAGCTATTAAAAAACCTCATCAAATCGAAGACATCAAGGAGTCTGGTTAGTACTCTGCAAAATCCAAAGCTCTGCAACACAAAATGATGATGAATGAAAGCTTTGACAGTCTTCAAAGAATCAAATAAAAAAACAGGCATTTTCTTCACTAAATGTGAAGATTCTTTTATCCCAGTAGAAAGAGAAGAATTTCAAGTTTTGATACAAATAGGATAAAACCCCTATGGGCACTCAATCCACTTTTGAGTAATTAACTGAATGATATAAAGTTGTTTTCTTTTTTTTTTTTTAACCTATTTCCCATTATATTGACTTTATACATACACTCTGTGTCAAGTATAGGTAGCAGACCAAACCTTTAGCTGTGTTATAAAATGTATGCACCTTCATGTTGTTGTTTTTTTTATTGTGGTTTTAAATTTTGTTCTTATTGGGATAAAGTTTGTGCACTTCTATACTACTCTTAAAAGTACAGAAGTAACATTTTTAAGAAATAAAATAATAAAATACTCTGAGTACTTTCTACCACTCTCTGACCCAGAACTGCAAGGCCTCTGAAAAACAACATAAATGAACAGTGGCTTTGAGACCTAAGTTTGCCAAATTTTTTTTGGAAACTTTTTCTTAATCAAAAGCTATATATTAATTGATTTGAAAGAAGCATTTCAAAATAAAAACCTACAAGACCATCATTACAATGTAAAAAAAATTATCTCTGATACACACACATTCCTAATAATTTAGATAGATGTGAATACAATCCCAAATAAAGATTACAAAATAAAGTCACTTTAAAAATAACTTTGGTTACTCCCCATTCCACATATGCCATAAGAGATTTAAACTGTGATTGTGGATTTTGAAAAAATATATATTCTTATCTATAAAACACTAGCATTCAAACTTGAAACTAAAGATTATCCAAAGTGACACAAAAGTTCTAAATGTTAAGGAAACTTAAAAATAACTTTCCTTTTTGTAAAATAAAAGCAGAATAAAACTGATCTGATTGTGTAATTAGGAAATTTGTTCTGAAAACTAATTAAATAAATTATTGGTAAAAACTCTGTGTTATGTTGTCAACAGAAACTGATTCAATCATTTTGCTGAGCAAAAAAGAAAACTACAGGCTAGTAATTACATGTTACAACCAAGTATGACTCTGACAATAATGGGAATGGTCCCACAGTCCCTCTGATTTTGCTGTGTCCTTAGGGTCTCATTCTGAAACTATCAGGCCCACCTACCTTTGGGACAATTTTACCTGTAGACACAGAAAACAGGTTATCTTTTTATCTTGTTTTCTTTAAGTTTGTATCACTAGTCTATAACAGATAACAATGAAATATCTCTAGCAGTAGATGAAGCAAGAGGGTAACTTTGTTTTGAAGAAACATTTATCTGTCTTTTGAGCCAAGCTTCTCAATTAATTCCTGAAGAGGTGCCAACTCACGCCTATCAATCAGATTAAACTCCTAAAAAGAGAAGAAAAATAAAATTTAAAAATGGTCCTAAATTAAAACTCTTTTAATTTCTTATTTTTAGAGAAAGGATTCACAACCCTAGTTTTCTGAAATTCAAAAGAATTATCTTATGAGCTCCGTAAACATTTTAAAGCAATTATTTTTATTCTTTTTAAAAATACTAGTGTTTCTTGAAAAAACCCTAAAAGCCCCACAAATGTGATATTGTGATATATACTGGTCTTCCTCATGGCTGTTTTTCTGACATACAGCTCCTAACATCCTTGAAGTCTTCAGAGTGGCAAGAGTGTCTGTTCTGGGCACTAATGAGATGACTGGTAGCTGGGAGCCCTTGAAGAGTACTATGATGAGGCTGCTCACCAGAAAGATCAAGGCATGATTACTGTGTTTTGGGACTTTCATCCCACCCAACCATGGAGAGAAAAGAGCTGCTGAAGGATGAGTTAATCACTAACAGATGATGATGTAATTAATCACAGCCAAGTAATGCACTCCCCATGAAAACCCAAAAAGACAAAATTCAGAGAGCTTCTAGATAATAGATGAATACATGGAGGTTTCTGGAGGATGTTATGCCTGGAAAGGGTATGGTATTGAAGCTCATATCCCTTCTCCCAGGCCTCACACTTTGCATCTCTTTTCTCTGGCTATTCATCTGTATCCCTCAAAATATCCTTCATAATAAAATGGTAAAGGTGTTTCCCTGAGTTCTGTGAACAACTCCTACAAATTAATCAAACTTAAGGAGAGTGTCCTGGGAATCCTGATTTATAGCTGCTCTATCAGAAATGATACCCATTACTTTTTTTTTGGGGGGGGGGGGACAACCCACTACTTTTGACTGATGTCTGAAGTTGAGGGCAGGACTTGTGGGACTAAGCTCTGAAGTTGTGGGATCTCACACTATCTCCAGATAGTTAGTGTCAGAATTTAGTTGAGTTAGATTACAGGACACTCAGCTGGTGTCTGCTGTAAAATGGACTGCCTGCTTAGTGTATATGGGGGAAAACCCATACATTAGATCTGTTGTGAGAGTAAAGTAGGAGTTATTCTCCGCACCCATATTCTTTGCTAGAGGACTTATTAAATAACTGATTATAGCGATCATAGGTATGATCCTCCCTATGTTACATGTTTGTGTATAAACGATATTTATATTCATATGTGTTTGTATGTATATGTGTGTGTGTGTGTGTGTGTATATATATATATATAATAAAATACATATTTGAATTTACATAGAAATTACCTGAAAACTACAAACTGAACTTTTGATAGTGGCCACCTCTGGGGTAGAAGACTTTTTACTTTTACACCCAAACATTCACATGTAACAATCTTGGAAGAAAAGAAAGACTATGGTATGTTTTCCTTTGTGTTACACAGAGAACCAGAGTACACAATATCTACTAAAATGCTATTAAGCTTTCCTTCTATAAAATGATATCTAGACAGACATATTTATATTTTACATATAAAATTATACAGCTCTAAGTTAGGCTAGAAGGAGTCCAATTCTTTGATCTTTTTTCAAACAATGTGAATTATTTTTATTTTTTAAAATTTTTATTAATTTATTTTTTATGTGGTGCTAAGGCTAGAACCCAGTGCCTCACATGTGCAAGGCAAGTGCTCTACCACTGAGCTACAACCCGAGCCCCTTTTTTGATTTTTTAAAAGTAATCATTCTAATTAAGTGCTCTACATTTCCCTCAATGATACACCCTAACCACAGACCTGGGGAAGCCAAAGGCAGAAGGCCCAATGGAAGTAATACCTTTTGATGCTGCTGTATAGACTAATAAAAACAATATGGGGAAAAAAATAAAACAGAAGAGAAAACCTGCTTGTGCTTAGCTGCTCTACAATCTATAAATAAGATACACTGGTCTATTAAGGTTACCAATCCAAACAAGTCCAAGTTGCATGACCCAGAAATCAATATGGTTCACTTACCTGAACAAAGAAAATAAAGTGCTTAAAGGAGGTGTTGAGGTGGGCCTCCTCTTGCAGCTGCATCACAGAATCAAAGTGCTGATGATAAATATGGGCATAAACCCTGAACAGACGCTTTAGAATGGTCTTTGCCACAGACATAAAGTTTTTGGGAAATGGGACACCTATAACCCAAAATACACATATATCAGTTTTTTTATCTAATTGAATAGCAGCAAGTTTTGACAGTGCCATAAGCACCTGCAACATACATATACACTTAGAAGCACACACAAGCTTATTTCTATATATTGAAAAGACAAAGTGAAAAACTCCCAAATCTAAGTATATTCCTCACAAACACTCTTTTCTGATTGCCTCAGAACAGCAGGCACAGGCATCAAATTATACAAGATGTTGCTGAATCAAAATTCAAATAAATAATTTTTTGGGGGGTGTTGGGGTACCAGGGATTGAACTCAGGGGCACTTGACCACTGAGCCCATATCCCCAGCCCTATTTTTTATATTTTATTTAGAGACAGGGTCTCACTGAGTTGCTTAGTGCCTCAGTATTTGCTGAGAAGCTGGCTTTGAACTCATGATCCTCTTGTCTCAACCTCCCAAGCTACTGGGATTATAGGTGTACATCACCGTGCCTAGCTCAAATAAGCAATTTTACTGTTAGAGGTTAATATCAAAGTTTCTTCCTAAGATTAAATCCAACAGTATTTTAATTATAAATAGAGTATTGTTTTGTGATTTATAACCCTTAAGAAAAAATACATGTATACTTTTTCTCTCTCAACTGGGACTGGAACTTTCCTACCCAAAGAGAAGTACAGGTACATTCTGAGTCATTAACATCCACATGTAAAAAGTATTTTATATTCAGCCAGGTACGGTGGCACACACCTGTAGTCCCAGCAGCTTGCGAGACTGAGACAGGAGAATCGAAATTTCAAAACCAGCCTCAGCAAAAAGGCGGCGCTAAACAATTCAGTGAGACCCTGAGTTTAATCCGCTATACTCCCACCCCCCCAAAAAACGTATTTTATCTTCTGAATTACTTTGGAAAAGCCAGTTTTCATTTTCCTGTAGCCTAAAAGGTGGGTATGAACCCTGAAAAAAGGAAAGAGAACCTCCCTATTTTTCAAAGAAAATAAACACCAATTTAAAGAGGTGGCTATGTGTGGGGGTGTCTCTCTCTCTCTCTCTCTCTCTCTCTCTCAACAGTGGAGACAGGGTTGCAACTGGTTACATTTCTAACAATTCTTTTTTTTTTTTTGGTACTGGCATTGAGCCCAGGGGTGCTTAACCACTGAGCCACATTCCCACTCCTTTTTATATTTAACTGCAGACAGGGTCTTACTAAGTTGCTTAGGGCCTTGGCTACATTACTTAGACTGACTTTGAACTTGTGATCCTCTTGTCCCAGCCTCCTGGGCCAGTGAGATTACAGGTGTGCATCATAGTGTCTAGCTCATTCCTACAAATTTTGGTTGACAAAATATTAAAATCTCTTAGAAAAACAGAGGCAGGAGAAAGAATACAATTGACACTGGCTACAGAGAATAAACACTAAGAAGGCATCTGCTTCCAAAACAACCAAGATGAGTTAGCCTTAAATGCCTGTTCCACAATACTATTCTTGAAATACCTCCTTTTTCCAACCCTTTAGAAAGCAAAGGCTTATTTAAACACTTTTTCCCTGCATTCTTTCTTTTATTCTTACTCCTTAACTGCTTGAAATCAAGTATATTTTGCAGATTTTTGTGGTTATTCCGCTCCCTCCCAAGTCTTGTCAAACTTGACTTTTCAAATATTACACCAGAGCTTACGTAAATGTTTCTGTGGGCAGGATCTTGTATTCAGGTATTAAAAAGGCAGATTTTAAAAATCAAATACTAGGGCTGGGATTGTGGCTCAGTGGTAGAATGCTTGCTTAGCATGTGCGAGGCTCTGGGTTCAATTCTTGGCACCACATAAAATAAATAAAGGTATTGTGTCCAACTACAACTAAAAAATAAAATATAAAAAAATAAAAATAAAAATAAATCAAATACCCGTTCATTCAAAATGTACAAATGGGAATTTTAATAACTTGAATATATTACTAAATATTATTAATAAACAGTTCTAATAAGAATAAATAATGAATAAAAGTAAGTCATAACATAAGGGGGGATTTTAGACCATCAGAATGAATTAATTATCAAAGAATGGGAATCTCAGAAAAAAGAATAAAGTAAAAAATGTTTTCTGTCTATAAGAGGGAAACCTTAGTGAGTAAAAAGTAATTTGTTTTGATCTAAGTACTTTCCAAGTGGAATTTAACATATTTGAGCAAAGGCAATATACAATAAAGAATCTGTGAGAAAGGAAGTAACAGAATGGAAAAAGTGACCACAGCAAACAGACCAAGTATAACAACTTGATATAAATTTTTCTCCTGAAAAAGCCTCTATTTAGATTGCAAAAAGGAATTTGACAATATGTTGCTCAGAGATATTCAAATTGAAAATGACAAGGACTAATCTCCTCCTTGAATAATGATGCCAAAATCTTCATCAAAATACTAACAAGTAAGAAAAACTCTTCTAGCAGAAAAAGAAAAGAAGGGGTTGCAGGTATAGCTCACTGGCAGTGTGTGCTTTAGCATGCAAAAGGTTAGCATAAATAAATAAATAAGGAGAAAGTCTTATAGTCATCAATAGTAGATACAAGAGAAATTTCTGATTAAAAAAAAAAAACTTACAACCATTCCAGATTTTAAAACATTTTTATAATAGAAGTGAATCGATATTTCATTAATATGATTTAAAAAAAATCCATACCCCTTTAATAAGAAATTCCTGTTTACTGAGGAAATTCTACAGGTATTTCAATAAGTATAAGGAAACAAAATAAGGATGCTTTGCCATTGTCACTATAATTCAGCATTTTTCTGGAAGTCAGTGCAATTAGATAAGCATAAAACAAGAAGAATACATAGCAGAAAAGAAGAGGCCAAATTAACATCATCTTCATATGAGATTATATACTTAAAAAACTCAAGAGAACTGACCAAAAACTAATGGATACAAAGTTTGATGTTATAAAATTTATAGAAAAATCAACAGCTTTCTTACATATCAAATAATAATCAGAAATCAGATATCAATAAAAAGTATAAAATGCCTAGGAATAAATTTAAGAAACTTGAAGGATTAAATAAACTATAGAACTTTATAAGCAGATAAAAGACAAAAGTGAATAAAGAATGTTATCTTGTTGTTCTTGGCTAAGAAGACTCAGTATTGTAAAGAGAACAAGAATCCTTGTATGTATCTGTAAAAATTGGATGTAATCATACGTAAAATCGAAGACAGTTTTTTACCTTAAGAAAATGATTCTAAGTTCTTTGGAAGAACAAATATCGCAGAATAGCTGGGAATATTCTGGAAAAAAAAAAAAAAAGAGAAGGGAAGGGACACTAGTCCTAGAAGATGCTAAAAGATACATGACAAGGTGAATTAAAACAGTGGAATTTCCATAGCAAGAGATAAAAAGACCCTAAAAAATATGGCAGTTTGTTGTGCACATGAGATAATCAAGAGAGAAAAGACATGCTGTATATTCAAAAGTGATATTGGAACAAAGTGGCTAGCTATTGTGTTTGGAAAAAAATGAAGGCAGCATTCAGAAGAAAAAAATCCTGACCTAAGATTTACATGGAAAAACAAAAATACTAGATGAAAACGTAAGTATTTTTTTTTTCTTTTTAAAAAGAATTTGTTAAGGAATATCAATGGAAATTTTTTTAAATATTTATTTTTTAGGGCTGGGATTGTGGCTCAGTAGTACAGCGCTCGCCTAGCATGGACAAGACCCGGGTTCGATCCTTAGCACCACAGAAAAATAAAGGCATTATGTTGTGCCCATCTACACCTAAAAATATAATAAATAGTTTTTTAAAAAAATATTTATTTTTTAGCTTTAGGTGGACACAATATCCTTATTTTATTTTTATGTGGTGCTGAGGATCGAACCCAGTGCCTCATTCATGCCAGGCGAGTGCATACTACTTGAGCCATATCCCCAGCCCCAACATAAGTGTTTTTTAATACCTGGAAGTAAGGAAAGCTTTTTCATCACTACTGAAATCCAAATCATAAAGGAAATGATTAATAGGTCAAAATAAATATAGGTGATCAATAAACAAAACAATGCTCAATCTCAATAGTTTTAAAATGCACATTAAAACAAATTCAAAAAAATTTGGTAAAGATTTTAAAATGGGTAAATAAACATGTGATGAAGAAACAGACACAAATATAATGGAGGTACAATGATACAGTGAGAAAAGCTTTTTGGAAAAAAAGATAGTAGTCTCTATTAAATTATTTTAAGGTAAAAAAGTGTTAAAAAGATTACATCTATCATTCAGAAAGAAAAATAAGTTTTACAATATTAACTCACCAATCTTAGAAGGAAAAAGAGTTTCATCATCAAGCTGATCCTGAACCCAAGTCATCAGATAGTCAATGTATTTTGGTGCAGAACATTTGATTGGCTTTTTAATATTAGTACCATCTGCCCAATGATATTCATATCTGGAAAGAAAAGTGTTTTACCCATAGTTTTCAAAACCATTAACAAATGTGTAACTTACAATCAAAGCAGGTCCACATTTTATCAATACACTATATGTAACTTTTAACAAATTACCTAAAGTTCTATTGAAGATTATTTTAAGTTCCCTACAGAATATTCTAAAATGTGACAACTGTAACTGGAAGAAAAAAGGGAGACAATGTGGCAGCTGATGGATGTTTTATAGGACAGCTTTGGGAACTGCATTCCTGTCTAAGGAGAACAGTGCTAAGGACTGAGCAAGGAGGTGGTGGATCCACTACATTCTAAGATCCTTGGCCATAAATTATTATCACCAATGGAATCAAGATTATAAAATCCTGTTTCTTGGAGAATGTTAGAGAAATACCTTTTGGGCATGTATATTTTCTCCCTTCACCTTTGCTAAGCTAGAACAATTAACAAGATTTATGCAAAACTATATGAAGTATTTAAGCTACAGAGAAGTTTAAAATTCTTATTTTGTATTTGGTACCAGGGACTGAACTCAGGAACACTTACCATTGAGAAACTTCTCCAGACCTTTTTATTTTTTGAGACAGGGTCTTGCTAAGTTGCTTAGGGCTTCCCTAAATTGCTGAACCTGGCTTTAAACTCACAATCCTCCTGCCTCAACCTCCAGAGTTGCTGGGATTACAGAGGTGTGCCACCATGTTTGGCTCTATTTTAACTTCTTTTAAAGTTTAAGGAATAAAACTTATAACATAAAATAACAATATCCCTTCCAAAATATAGCAATAAAAATAGGACTGGAAAACACTAAGGAAATACAACAAAAATATTAATCTCATCACACCCTCACAATGTAAGTAAGAAAGAGTCTTGAAAATTATTAAATTTAAAAATTAAATTTCTTAAAAATTATTACAGTCAAAATAGTTTTCAACCTAGCATCTTTTTTATTAAATTGTACTCATTTTGTTAATACTAAATAAGCAAAGTAAAAAAAATCAAATGTTAAAAAGTCAACTAAAGGGCTGGGGTTATGGTTCAGTGATAGAGCGCTTGCCTAGCATGTGTGAGGCACTGGGTTCAAATCTCAGCACTACATATAAATAAATGAATAAAATAAAGGTCCATATAAAGGTCCTAAAAAATATTTTTTAAAAAGTCAACTAAAAACTCTTTAAGAAATTTATTTAAAAACTAGCAAGAGGAATGGTAAATGTTAATCTGTTAATCAAATTGAAAAAACAAAACAGAACCTTTGTATTTTTGTGATGCAAGATAAACATGTCAAATTTCTATACTTTTATTCAGACTCACTATGATATACATAAATCAAACACTGAGAAATCACATATCAAAATATTTAATATTACAACAGTTACACACTGGTAAAGCACCAGTGCAATCCCCAGCATCACAAAAACAAAGCAAATGTAGCTATAGTAGGTGAGTATTCAAGAACTAATAAAATTGAATTACCTTTACATAAGCAAACAAGGATAAACAAAAAGTCTTTATTATTTAACTTATATATCAATTTGTGAGAAAGCAAGATAATCCAAACACCTATATAATAGGCTGTATATGCACCTGGGACCTGCAGACATGACTGGACAGCTTGCTTCAGTGCAGAATTCTGTAATAGTTCCATACAACATGTTAATCTGATTGAAGAAATCCACAGCTGCGGAGAGAATGGCAGAACTGTGTTAAATATCTGTATAAACACAACAAAAATGTCAGACCTATCAGTTGAGGGCCAAGTGGATGATTTTTTTTTTTTTTTTGAGATGGGGGTCTCTGTATTGCTCAGATTGGTGCCAAACTCCCTGGCTCAAATGATCCTCCTGCCTCAGCCTCCTGAATAACTAGGACTATAAGCACCTGCCACCATATCTGACTCTAAGTTAACTTTTAATATACTAAACTTCTAACCAGCATTTAGAAAAGCAAAATACTAGAGATAAAACTTTAACTGAATTGTTTATATTACACATCATTAGAATAGATAATTTGGTTATATCCAAGGGAATGAAAAATCCATAGCTTATTAATCAGACCAACAGTATGATTTGTTAGGAAAGAGGAAAAAAAAAAGGTGCTATGAAATATACTGTGAATAGATATATTAGCTATATCAACAAACACTTAAAATATCTAATTCAGCATAAATATTTGAAGCCTCCAGCATATTGAGAACATAAAAATCCCTTGCCCTGGGGTCTCCATCTAACAGAAGGGACAAAATTAAAAGAAATGAACAATACAAAAATACAAAAAGGTAAGACCCGAAGGTCAAGAGTAAGTCCAAGTATTACTGAGAAAAAAAGTCTATCTAAAAGGAACTAATTAAAAAATAAATAAATAAATAAATAAAAAGAAAACTTTTATCTACAGAGAAACTTGCACAGGTATTTTTTACAGCAGAATTATTCATAACTGCCTAAATGTGGAAGTAACTGGTATATTCTTCAGTAGGTGACTGATAAATCTAGAAAATGGAAGATTCAGGGCTAAAAATATTAGGGCTAAAAACCAAAAGACATGAAGAAACTTAAATAAATATTACTAAGTAGAAGAAGCCATTCTGAAGAGGCTTCACACTGTAGAATTCTAACTATATGACATTTTGGAAAAGGTTAAACTGTGAAGACAGTAAAAATGATAAGGGAAATAAAAATGATAAGGAGACAAGAAAAAAAAAAGATCAGTGACTGCCAGAAGATTTGTGGAAGGAGAGATTAATAGGCAAAGCATAGAAAATTTTTAAGGCAGTGAAACCACTTTGTGATGATACTATAATGTCATATATCATTATAAATTTATCCAAACCTGTAAAACTCTACTATAAACTAGGAAGTTGGAGCCAGGCATGGTGGTACTCGCCTGTAATCCCAGCAGCTCTAGAAGGTGAGACAGGAGAGGAGAATCCCAAGTTCAAAGTCAGCCTCAGCAATGGCAAGGCTCTAAGCAACTCAGTGAGACCCTGACTCTAAATAAAATACAAAATAAGGCTGGGGATGTGGCTCAGTGGTCAAGTAACCATGAGTTCAATCCCCAGTACCACCACCACCAACAACAAAATAAACTAGGAAGTTGGATGATTAAAAAAAGGACTAGATTCTATGGATATACCACTACCTATCAAGTAGTCTACCATACAACAAATAATAACAAAAATCAAATCTGGATTTGATCAAGATCCCAAATCTGCAATAAAATGGTAACTGTTAGCTATACATGGCTACTTACATTAAAATTTATTTAAATTAAATTAAAATTTCAGTTCCTTAGTCACACTAGCTACATTTGAAGGTATAGAACATTCTCATCTTTACAAAAAGTTCTATTGGACAGAGCTGCTTCAGATCTAACAATGAATATGGGAGATAAAAGGAGGGAGAGCACAATAGACACTTTGGGGATCCAATTAGCAGAATTAATACTCTGGAACATAAACAATATGGTTTCTTCAACAATGAAGAAAGCAGGGGAAAAGGACTGCAATGAGGAGAAACCTGGATTAAGAGATTCAAGAAACAGAGGTGGGGCTGGGGATGTGGCTCAAGCAGTAGCACGCTCGCCTGGTGTGCATGCGGCCCGGGTTCGATCCTCAGCACCACATACCAACAAAGATGTTGTGTCCGCCGAGAACTAAAAAATAAATATTTAAACAAAAAATTCTCTCTCTCTCTCTCTCTCTCCTCTGTCACTCTCTCTTAAAAAAAAAAAAAAAAAAAAACACAGAGGTTTTTCCTGGATCCTAATTTAAACCAAGCTTAAATTAAAAAAAAAAAAAAAAATTGCTGGGTGAGGTGGCACACACCTGTAATCCCAGCAGCTCAGAAGGCTACGCAGGATGATCACAAGTTCAAAGCCAGCCTCAGCAACTTGGCAAGATCCTGTCTCTAAATAAAATATTAAAAGGGCTGGGGATGTGACTCAGTGATTAAGTGCCCCGGGTTCAAACCCCAATACCAAAAAAAAAAACAAACCCATATATATATATATGAATGATAGTGAAATGTGAACACTGACAAGTTATTAAAGAATGACAGTACTATCATTATTTTTAAAAGGAGTTCTTGTCTTTAGAGATATATCTGAAGTATTTATAGATGAAATAACATGTTGGAGATTTTTTTTCAAAATACGGGGGATACAGAAGCACAAATTGATATATGCTGAAGCTGGATAATGTATACCTGGGAATTCATTAGTTTCTTTACTTTTCTATGTTTGAAATTTTCTATTAAAAAGTTCTCAGAACTATCTCATCTCAGAAACAAGAGGCACTCTAACCTCAGCACATCAGTCCATGCCATGACATCATTCCCTTGAACTCAGAGTGACCCTTTGGCACATGGATCCGTTGATTTTCTCTCTCAATTTCCTTTGACTATTCCTAAGTCATAAATCAATTGATTGCCCATAGAAACTGCAATCAATTTTTCTGTATGTATAGGCAAATGAGTACTACTAGGAGTACAGGCAAAATGGCCCAGATGGATTCCTTAGAAACTCATGGTCCATGATAGAATTCATGCATGTATTAATCTTTTACTTGACCTTACTCAGCTCTTCTTGGTATTCTCCTTAGGAATTATCTCAAAGCATTTCATTTTTTTTTTTTAACTCACATTACTCTACTTAATCACACAAGCCACAATTACGTATTCTGAAGAACACAGCTTTGAATGTATTCGTGTTTATGTTTCCTTACAGATACTATATTATAAAAGAAAACTCATTAACAAGATTTTAGCAAGATCTTTCCAAAAACCAATGAAGTTAAGTATTGTTAAAAACTTACTATTAACAGCAATCCACTCATTGAGGTCTTCTCCCTCTGGCAACATAACAGCCTGTCTCAGATTCCCACTTCCTAGAGTTGCTTCTGCGTGTTTTAAGAGTTCATACTGGTGAGAGCCTTCAGGAATATTCTTCTTTGGCTTGAATGTTTTAGAAGAACGGCTACTGCTGTTGGATCAAAAGTAAAAATGTATGAGTTTTTAATACTAAAAGCAGAATGACACAATTTTAAGCATATAAATCACTGTGTAAAATGAGAAAAAAAAATTCCTAAGGCAAGTATGATGGCAATGCTATAACCCTAGCCACTCAGGAGGCTAAGGTAAGAGTATCGCAAGATTCAGGTCAGCCTCAGCAACTTAGCAAGGCCCTAAGCAACTCAGTGAGATTCTGTCTCTAAATGAAATATAAAGAAAGACTAGACATGTGGTTCAGTGGTTAAGCACCCTGGGTTCAATTCCCAGTACCAAAAAAAAAAAAAAAATTCCTTGGAAAAGGACAGGATGGAAGGGATTTGATGACCACAATAAAAAGAATGTTTTAGGGATGGGATGTAGCTTAATAGTAGACTGCCTGCTTAACATGCACAAGGCCCTGATTTTAATCACTAGCACCTCCTCAAAAAAAAAAAAAAAAAAAGTTTACATTTTTTCACTCATGAAAACAGAATTAATAGCACAATTTTACAAATAAGGCAATTTTGTTGGAATGAAAACCTACCATAAAGGATACTTTAACCAAAGAAAATACTTGGATTCTAGTCCTTGATCTGCCACTAGCTCTGTGACTACCTGAGAATCCTAACCTTTTGACCTAATTTCCACCTGCAGAAAATAGTGAAGAGAGGGAGTTAGCTCTGAAGTTCTCCGTTTCAGAATCCAGTTTTCTACATTGAAATATTTGAGATGCTATCAAAGGAAACCACAGAAAAAGAAACAAACAATCTGAAGTTATAGCAGGGAAAATAAATGAGACAGATGTAACTTGTTATGGGGGAAGTTTTTACTCCTATTTTATTCCATCCACAAGGTCCTCCTAAAATGAAACAAAACCTAGAAATCTTAAAGAAAAAAATTGACCGATTTTAAATCAGAACAATTAAAACTTCCATAGAAGAGCAAAAAGACAGGCAACAACAACAAAAAAGTACTTGCAACATATTTACACAAGATTAACTGAATAAAGGACTTCTAGAATTTGTTAAGGAACCCTTTAGAAAAATGGGCTAAGGAGACAAAAAAGGCAATTTAGAAGTACAATGATCAATAAACATGTGAAGAAAATTGTTCAATTTAAGTAAGATACATTTTTTTCCTAGTCTGAGTGTCAAAAGTTAAAATGATTATATTAATAAGTATGGAGAAATGAGTATCTTAACATTCTATCACTGGAAGTGCAAAGTGAATAACATTTTAGTAGGGTTATATGGCAGTACCTTCTAACACTTTTTGAAAAGCTCCCCAATCAATCCATTCCACTTTTAGGTAACTCTGATAGATGTGGATAAGGATTTGTAGATAAGGATTTCCAAGATGATGATGATGATGATGATAATGATTATTTTGGTACTGGGAATTGAACCCAGGGACGCTTAACCTGTGAACCACATCCCCAGCCCTTTTTATATTTTATTGTGAGATAGGGTCTTGCTAGTGGCTTAGGGCTTTGCTAAATTGTTGCAGCTGGCTTTGAACTCACAATCCTCCTGCCTCAGCCTCCCAAGCCCCTGGGATTACAGGTGTGCACCACTGTGCTCAGCTCCAAGATAATTTTTAATAGTGAAAAACATGGAGGGGATTTAGGGGTACACACCTGGTTCAATCCCTAGTGTCCAAAAAAAAAAAAAAAAAGTGAAAAACCTGAAAATGATCCTAAAGTTTACCAGTAAATGAACAAACTAACTATAGTACATCCACATCATGGAATACTATACTGTAGTAAAGAAGACGACAGAATACATATGTCATACATATGTTCACATGAAAGATTGAAAACATGGCTAACACATTACAGAACCAAATGTATAGCAGAAGCCCAATCTGTTAATGCATAGAGTATCAAAGCAATACATGTTAAAACTAGTAATTATTTCTAGGAAGGGTAAGGAAATAAACAGTAGACTTTCACTTTACCTGAAGATTCTGAATTTTAAACAAGAGTGTAAGAAGTAAAAAAGCCAGGCATGGGGGCACATAAACCCAGGTTAGCCTGGCAACTTAGTGAGACCTTGTCTCAAAATAAAATAAAAAGGGCTGGGGATATAGCTCAGTGGTAGAGCATTTGTCTAACATGTGCAAAATCCTATGTTCAATACCTCATACCACCACCACCAAAAAGAAAAAGAAGAAAAAAAGAATTGTGAAAACAGTAAAAATCAAATATAGATAAAGATTTTATTAATATGATAAAGAACTACATTTAAGAGGGAGTATTAAATTAGAAGGACCAGCCCTTTACACACAGAAATAAGCTGTTAATGACCAAATCTAGAAAACTAACATGAAATAATTTCTCAAGATTCAATATAATCTTCGTCTAACTCAAGACTGTTGCACTTCAAATTATACCACCAAGACAGTGAAAATGATCCACAGGATAGAAGAAAATATTTGCAAATCACAGATGTGGTAAGAAGTTTTTATCCAAAATTTATAAAGAACTCTTACACCTTAAAAACGAAAAAGGGTATGAATAGACTTTACACAAAAAAGAAGCTCAATATTATTAGTCATTAGAGGAATGCAAATAAAATCAGGAGATCCCACTTTATACTCAGATGGCTATAATCAAAATGACAACTAACTAGTGCTAGAGAGGGTGTGGGGAAATTGAAACCTTCTCACAGTGCTGATGGGAATGTAAAATGCTGTATATTTGGCAGTTCCTCAAGAAAATAAACCCAGAAGTAACATATAAACCAGCAATTCCACTCCTGGGTATATACCCAAGACGGGGTAGCCACATAAAAACATGTTCATAGCAGCATTCATGAATAGCCAAAATGTGTAAATAACTCAAGTGTCCATCAACAAGCAAAATACTAGAAAGAATCTAAAATTTCTCACATTAAAAAAGGGGTAAAAAAATAAATAAAAATAAAAAGGGGTAAACTCTGGTTATGAAACACTGTATTTCAATAAAATTTAAAATGCCAAACAAGTGGATCATGTTCATCACTAAAATGATTATTTAAGCACACAGCTGAGCAATACTGTATGAGAGAGAACCACCTAAGAATAAGATGTTATAGAGCAAAGCTTCTCAAATCTCAATGTGCATAAAAATCAGAGAACTTAAAAATTGTCCATTTAAGCCTCGTTTGGGCCCAAGCTTTCTTTCTAAAATGAGATTCTATTGAGGCCAAGAGTAGTTAAAAAGTCATAAAATCAGTAAGTGGGCAGAATCGAAAGTGGACAGGAGAGTCTGGCTGCAAGGCCCACATCTTACTTCCAGCTTTCTCCAACTATGATACTACACATTTTCCTGTGGCAGCATTTTTCCATGGGGGTAATTTAATACTGACAATAACGAAACCAGACATATGATAGAGTAAAAAGCTAAGTCAGCAAGAATCGTCACTAGAGTTCGAGACTGCAGAGAAACTGGGAACCCCGGGCAAGGCCAGGCCTTCAGAACGCCTCCCCGCCCTCGGGGGTGCTCGGGCGGAAAAGTTTGAAGGCTCTGCCGGCCTCGGGGCCTTTCAGCGCCCCAACCTCAAGCTCAGCTTCCTTTGCCTCGACCTTCATCTCCGTCAGGCCCTCCCTACTGTCGGCCACCCCCGTGGACTCGAGGAGGGGCAGAGTGGACGCCAGCCACCCGACCTTGATCCTGGGCCGGGTAATCATCTCGGGACCCTGTTGGCCGTCGCCGACCTCCGCCCTCAGCCTGGCGCCCTCCGCCGGGCCCTACTTACAAGAGGAAGCTCATCTTCGGTCCTACGAGAGCAGGGGAGGGGCCGCTGGCCCCCGCCCCGTCAGGATTCGGAACTGGCGCGGGAACCGAGAGGAAGAGAACGGTCCTCTGATCGCGGACAGCGGAAGGAGGGCAGCAGGGTCTCCGAGTTCGGGTTTTAGAGGCTGCAGGCCTGAGTGAACCGAGGCGTCTGGCTCCCCCGCCTCCCCCACCTCACAGATCCGAAATACGGAACCAGCAAAATCTCGCGAGCCAAGCCTTCGCCCCGCCCCTCAGAAAGGGACTTGACATCCCTTTCATCCCGCCCCGCTCTTACAGATAAGCCAATCAGCGTTCTGGATGTCGGGACTTCCCTCTCCTGGAGGCGTGGCGAGGGAACGCGGTGGTCCGGAAGAGGGGCTGGCATTGCACTTGCTGGAGCTTGGTGTTGCTGTGTTTCATCCTTATTACCCACGTAGCCGAAGCGCTGTTATGAGCAATATAACCCCCTGCAATTGTTTAAAAAATTTAAACTAATTTTTTAATAGAGATACATTTACATAGAATAAAATTCTCCCCTTCAAAATGTACATCTCATTGCGGTTTTGTTTTTTTTTTTATTTTGGGTGTATGTATTCAGATTTGTGCAACCATCATCACTTTATCTAGTTCTAAGAGCGTTTTCATTCCTTACCACTCTCTGTTGCTCCCAACTCCTGGCAACCAATAGTCTACTTTTTAAAAATTTTTATTTTATTTATTTATTTTTTAATTTTTAGTTGTAGTTGGACTACCCTTGTTTTATTTATTTACTTTTTATGTGGTGCTTAGTATCAAACCCAGCGCCTCGCGCATGCTAGGCGAGCGCTCTACCGCTGAGCTACAACCCCAGCCCCTCTACTTTCTATTTCTATGAATTTTCTTATTCTGGACATTTCATATAAATAGAATCATTCAGTAAGTAATCTTTTGTGACTGGCTTCAGCATAATATTTTAAGATTCACGCCTCTATCATATTTGAGGACTTCATTTCTTTTACAAAATGAATAAAATTCCATTGTGGAACACAGCAGATTTTGTTTATCCATTCATCTATTGATGGACAAATTTGGGTTGTTTTTTAATTTTTCAATCATTATGATTAATGCTATGAACATCCAGGTACAGGTTTTTAATGTGGGTGAAGGATTCAATAACACCAAGTGACCACTAACACACACCATAGTGGAATGAAGAACACAAGGAAAAGGGAAATTGTGGGAGACTAGAGAAATACCTCAGCAAATGGTTGTGCAGGAGGTCTGGTGTAAATAAGATTGTCCCATGTACCTGCTGCCATGATTTTCATGTTGATTTTATTTAATTGAAATATCACCTGTTATGTTGAATTAATTTTTTTTATTGTGTTGAATTTTGTAGTTTACAATTTAAAACATGATTTGATATACCTGAATAGAAGCTATATACCTAAGGATGCAGACTCATACTTTTTTCATAACTTATATTCCCTAAGTAATACAATTATCATAAAAACATCATGAGAAAAAAAGGATTCAAGAATGTCACCTTTTGATGGGATTGTTTTTTAAGCCAAAAAATTATTAAATCAATGAAAGATCAGCAATTTATTAGATAAAGCTTTTAATATTGTTAGATTTATAGAGGAAAAGAGATAATCTTCAGGATTAGATGAAAATCCCAGGTCAATATTTGACTGATATCAGTATAGTCCCCTTAGGAATAAAAAAATATGATTTCTTGGTGAGAGAAGCAAGTGGAGAAAGATAAATTGCTGATTGCTAATTGCTTCAGGGCAATTTGTTTTCCACTAGACAGGGGCTATCCAAAGACTGGAGAAGTTTTTTGTTTTTTTTTTTTAAATTCCCTCCTTATCTCAGCTGAACAGAGAGATCACTGCACACCATCTGCTTATAGCAGATGCTGAAAACAAAAGCTAAATGGCAAATTATAAAGACACCAGTCCCTCCTCTCTTGAACCTCTCCCCCCCCCCCCCCCCATTCATCCCCTTTCCAGCTTCCTTGGACAGGATTTGCAACCTTGCATTTTCATTCTGTGTAAGTGTGCTGTCTCATCATTTGCAAACCTCCAGCTTTACACTATCAACTAAATCCACTTTGGTCACAGAGGGTTCCTGCTTTTCCTAGCCAGTTGGTGCTTTCAGAATTCATGTTTTAGCCTCAGTCACAGGTAAGTATAAAAGGACAGTAAAACTGCTAAGATGTCCCTGCCCATTATGTTGGGACTCAGGTTGTAGACTATGAAAGAGAAATCCAATTTATCAGATACCAAAAACTCACTCGAGCAAAAAAGCCACATGAAGGTTTCCACTCTGAAAATGGTTAAGCCTGAAGTCAGACTGTGGTGTTAGCCATATTCATTGCTAAAAAAATGTTTGGCCTCTGTATTCCTGTTATATTCAGTTGGAGAATACAGATATTAATCAAATGATTATATCAGTAGATGATATGTAATTACAGTTGTAGAAACTGAAAAGCGGGGTTGGGGATGTGGCTCGAGCGGTAGCGCCCTCGCCTGGCATGCGTGCGGCCCGGGTTCGATCCTCAGCACCGCATACAAACAAAGATGTTGTGTCCGCCGAGAACTAAAAAATAAATATTAAAAAAAATTTCTCTCTCTCACTCTCTCTTAAAAAAAAAGAATCTCTCTAGTCAAATTCTTTAAAAAAAGAAACTGAAAAGCATTGAATGCATTAAGAATATTAAAATAATGTTCCAGGAAGGACCAAAGAGAGACTGGGGAGTTTGAATGCCATTTAAACTAAGTCCCCAGAGGATGAGTTAGCTGATCCAAAGAAGAAGTGGGGTTCTTTTCAGAATCAACAAAGTATGCAAAGGCTTTGAAGCAGTCAGGAGTTTGCTGTGATCAAGGAACTGAAAGAAGCCAGTGTGATGAGAATGTGACTGTCAAGGGGGAACGTGAAGTGAAATGAAAGCAGTCACCAAGAATCTTAGCCTGTTTGAAGCCAGGTGGCCACCCTTGAAAGGTGTACAGAAGGACAATGCTGTATACTCTTAAAAGCCAAAACAGATAAGAGGTTATCGTATTTGTCAGAGTGGAGATGTAGTTGACCAGGAATAGGTCAGTGGGGAGAGCTGTAGATGAAATTGAGAGATATTTTGGAGAGAAATTATACAAGTCCCAGTGAAGAACTAGATGTGGCAGTCTAGAGGTCAAACTTTTAGGTCAGATAGTCTGGGGGTGCAGCCTTGAGGGGATGAGTAACAGTGCTTCTAGGAATCAGGGAGGAATGTGACACTTTATAAAAGGACATGATGTGCTCTGTTGGGTCTGAGGGAAGAAAGCAGGCAGGAAGACTGGTTGGGATTGGGTATAGAAGAGCCTGAGCACCTCATCCCACAGAACTTGATCTAAAAATTGTCGTATAAAGTCTTTTTTTTATTTCACAAATCGTATTTCAATATAATACTGTGGGGATATAGAAACAAGTCTTTTTTGTTAAGCATGTTAAACACCTATAATGATGTTCACATATAATTTCACTCTTGAGAGTTCACAGTTTTGGCAAAGAGAATTCTCAAAATTTTAAGAGGGCTGGGCTTTTTGAAACTGGGCATGCCTATTTCCTTTCCTTCTTTACAGTTATAAGCCCAAGTAGCCAACCATAAGGTACTTCCATATGGAGTTTTCTGGAAACAGTTTCTGGGAATCATTGTACCTCGTCAAATAACCTGTAGGCCATGCTCCAGACTATACGACCTCCCACATCCATTGTCTTGTCTTCTCAGCACCATATTCTTTTTCTTAGTCTTTTTTCTTGTTCACTGTATGTCTGCCTATGCTAAGCCCCAGGAGGTTAGAAACATCACTTTTTTTAAAGTTTGAAATAATTTCAGACATAGAAAGGTGTCAGGAAAAGTTCAAAGGCATATTGGCATACTCTTCCTTCAGATTCCCCAACTGTTACTATCTTACATTTGCCATTTGTTTGATCAGTTTCTCTTTATGTATACACATTGCTATGGACTGAATTGTGTCCCCACTAAAATTCAGTGTTGAAACTTTATCATGTGTGTGTGTGTGTGGGGGGGGGGTGCTGGCCATTGAACCCAGGTCCTTGTACATACAAGGCAAGCATTCTATGAACTGAGCTATATCCCCAGCCCTAAAACCTTATCCTTAGAGTGTGACTATATGTGGAGATAGAGCCTTAAACAATAATTAAATTAAAATGAGGGCATTAGGTTAGGCTCTAATACAATCTGACTATAAGTGTCTAATACAATCTGACTATAAGTGCCCTTATAAGAAGAGGATATTTTAAAATATATATATATATATATATATATATATATATATTTTATACACACATACACACACACATATATATGTATATTTACTTATTTAATTATTTTTGAGTACTGGGAATTGAACTCAAAGTGCTTTACCTCTGAGCCACATATCTAGCTCTTTTTATTTTTTATTCTGAGACAAGGTCTCACTAAGTTGCTTAGGAGGCTGGCCTTGAACTTGCAGTCCTCCTGCTTCAGCCTCCTGAGCACCTGGGATTACAGGTGTGTACCACTGCAACTGGTGTGTGTGTGTATATATATATATATATATATATATATATATTTATTTATTTTAATTATATATCCTTATTTTTTCTGGACCATTTGAAAGTAAGTTGTCCTTTTATCTCTAAAGGCAAGTAGTGTGCATTCTCCTACATGTCACAATATGATTAGCTAAATCAGGAAATTAACATTGTTACAATGCTAGTAACTAATTATAGACTTTATTCACATTTTGACAATTGTCCTATAATGCCATTTATAGCAAAAGAGAAAAAAGAAGAGAAACAAAAATATTAGAGGGTCCAGAACCCATTCCAGACTCACATATGGCATTTAGTTGTCATAACTAAACTCTTTTAATCTAGAACATTTCCTCATTCTTTGTTTTTCATGGTCTTGGCATTTTTGAATAGTACAAATGTTTTATCTTGTAGAGTGTCTCAATTTGGGCTTGTCTGATATTTCCTCAGGATTAGATTAAAACCTTATAGCATGTTACCAATTTCAGGAATATGTTTTTTCCCCCACATTTAGGAATATGTTTTATTTTTGTTTTGTTTTGGTACCAGAGATTGAACCCAGGGGTTCTTAACCACTGAGCTACATCCCCAACCCTTTTTATTTTTTATATTTGACACAGGGTCTTGCTAAGTTGCTTAGGGCCTCCCTAAGTTGCTGAGGCTGGC